TACCCAAGCAAAAAGTTACCATCATGTTTACATAAAAACTGTCACCAAACAAGTATGTACTGGAACATGATTAACGGAGAAATTCTTAGGGTGAAGCTCTTAGCGGAATATAAGAAACCGTCTATTAATGTTTAACTAAAAACTAAGAACTAGTTTTTAAAATGTTTTATTTAAAAATCAGTTTTTAAATGTTTTATTTAAAAACCAGTTTTTAATTGTTTTATTTAAAATCAGTTTTTAATTTTTTAGTTAAAATTAAAATACATTTTTGTATATTCCGCTAAGAATCTCGCAACCCCCCCCCCCTTGTTAATGAATATATCATCTTCAGAAATGCATTTGCATAAGATCTAAAATTTTCTTGCAAATTTTCTGATAAAGAGTTTAGATTTTTTCAAACATTTAAGATCTTTTTTTTGCCTAACTGTTTTATTTGTTCAAGTAAAACTGAATTCGCATAGAGTTCATATGAACTTGAAAATGTATTTTTCTCTTTGTTTTCCAACAATATTTTCTTGTATATTTCTTAATTTATAAAATAATTTTATATATATTTTATTGGTTCGTGACTCAAAATTCTCCATGTAGTACCCTAACTTCCACTAATATATATGGTGATTCGATAATGACTATGCAACAACTAATCTAGAAGACAGGAAACAAATCGTGTATAACATTACTAGACTATATATGTTAGGCTATTAAAAGAAAATAAAACTTAATTTTGTTTGTTTAATTAAGTCAGAGGCTAGCGCAAAATTTTGTAATATATCTTTCCGTTCAAGGAGTACAAAGAAATGCATGTGTCTAAGAACTAAAAAGTATGCACATGCTTTTTATGTAGATTGTAAGTTTTACGTTGTCATCATCCACCATTAAAATTTTGTAGTCATCTGATCTGTATCATCTTCATATTATAGTTAGTGGAATAACAAATCATCAAATGTTTTGATTTTGAAGGTATTGCCATGCTGTATGCAATCGAATGCGTATAAAGTAACTGAACATAGTTTCAAGCAAACCTTCAAGAAATTACATTAGATCTAAACGCCATGTGACATCTCCCACACACTGTACATACTACAATATATAATAGATACAAGTAACCAAAAGCAAGCTAAGCACTCAACAATAGCAAAGTAAAATGGAATATCTTCAAGCACTACTTCTCTCACTCTTTCTCTTCTTCTCCACCATGTTCTTGTTCACAAAATCAAAGCCAAAACCAAACTTGCCACCGTCTCTACGAAACTCATTGCCGGTGATCGGCCACCTCCACCTGATGAAGCGACCATTTCATCGAAAATTACTTTCCTTCTCAAGATCCCTAGGAAATGCTCCAATCATCCACCTCCGCTTAGGGCAACGTCAAACGTACGTGGTCTCGTCACGTGCCATCGCCGAGGAATGTTTCACCAAGAACGACATTGTCTTCGCGAATCGGCCTTTGTTGATGATAAACAAGCATTTAGGGTATAATGCTACACATATGGTCGGAGCATCTTACGGCGATCACTGGCGAACCTTACGTCGAATCACCGCCGCTGAGATATTTTCGTCGATGAGGCTCTCTATGTTTTTGTATATACGTAAAGATGAGATCCGACGGCTTTTATTACGCCTCTCCCGAGACTCCTTACATGTACGCGCCTCTTTAAACTATATATATGTTAGTAATGATCCTAAGAAGTAGTTAAATACTTACTACTATCAATAATATTTCTAAGAACTATAACTAAGTTTAATCTCCCATTCCATTATCTTTACATGTTTCCATTTATCAAATAAAAAACCATTTTTTTTTAATCATACTCGACGTGTGTATATATATATATATCTATATTATTAAAGTTGAAGTACATTTTGGAGATGTTTGGAAACAAGTATAGTATTCTAAATGAAATCTGTTTGGAAACATGAAAGTAGTATTACATTAATTGTATTTCCATATTTCAGTTAGCTTAATAAGTTTATTAATTAAATTACCTTAACGATAATACACATCATTAATTATATTACCATAATAATAATAGTGCATATTTTTATTTATTAGTTAATCAATATAGATTTTGTGCAAGTTATAAAATCAAAAATGTCAATAACTAAGTTTTATATATGGTTAAATGTTCAATTTAGTAAAAAAAAAATTATTTTAGTTTCAACCGCAGTAGAAAAATAATGTAACCAAAAATATCATTCAAAGCCATGTGTATATTAATAAAATAATAATTTAAATAAAAATTAAAATATATTACATTTATTATCACTTAATTTTCATTTAATATAATTATTTTACTAAATAAACAGTCTTTTTATCAGTTTATAGAATAAGTTAGTCATTAACATCTATATTATTAAAGCGAAATACTTCTTATGAATATGGCTATGACTTTTCCAATTAATTACAAATATTATATGTACCTTTTTGCCACCAGCATTTGCAACCAATAAAAGTCATTGTTTTTAATTACACTAAAGAGTATTTAATAATTCAATTCTTAGCCTTTTTTAAAAAAAAATTCTTAAATATTTGCAACATATCTTTCCAAAAAATCTTTTACGTTATTAATTATTTGAATGCATTTATTAAATGAAACCTCAAAATAAAATCAAGTTGAAATAACAAATGATTGAATCAACAAAATTACAATACGGGTCTAAATTATCTCAACTTCTTAAGAATAGGTTCATTTAAAATAAAAACTAAATCACATAAACTAAATTTAATAAAACTATAGAAAATGTTTTGAAACGCACAAATAAATTTTCAATACAGAGAGTGTTGAAGATATAAAGATATTTTATTTAAATTAAAAAAAAATAAGTGTAAAATAATTTTAACTTCGGGTTCAATTAATAAAATCATATTACGAATTAGAATTATCTAGAGTCTTCAAAAGTTTAGTTATATTTAAAATAAAAATAATAAATCATATAAGTAAATTTAAAATAAATTTCATAAAAAATAAAATAAATAATTTATCAAAAATCATAATTTTTATTTCGTAAAATAATTTTTCAACAATAAATATACCCGCCCTTAAAAAGGACGGGTCAAAATCTAGTTATCAGTTAAACTTGATTACATTTGTTTATGAATTTAGTGTAATCAGAATGTATTTCACTTCAATATTTTATCTTCTTTAAAAACACGTATTCCCTCTGTTTTACGAAGCACACTAATTAACAAAAAATGTTATAACTTTTGTATACCCTTAATAGTTATAATCACTTCTCTTTAGTTTAATCAACAATTAATCATTGTGATATATGACAATTTTAAGTTTGTTTTTATGTTAAAACTGATATATATATATATATAGTTACAAAAAATTGTATTAAAATTGTAATAGACACTTTTTATATAATAAAAATGTTAAAATGACACTAACGGAAGGAAATTAATAGCATTATAGTAATTTTGTAAGTTATCATTATAACATCGAATAACATATTTTAAAAGAAATTTATTTCATGTACCATCAGGGATTTGTGGAGGTGGAAATGAAAACACTGTTTACAAACTTGGCATTCAACAACATCATCAGAATTGTAGCTGGAAAGCGATACTACGGTGATGATGCAGAGGACGAAGAGGAGGCCAAGGTGGCGAGGCACTTAGTGTCTGAGGCTATGGCCGGCGACAGTGGACGAAATCCAGCTGACTATCTTTCGTTCTTGCGTTGGTTCACAGATAGTGAATCACGGATCAAAGACGTAGCTCATCGTTTCGACGCATTCTTACAAAAACTAGTCGATGAGAAACGTGCGGAGAAAGAAAAAAGTCAGACCATGATCAATCACTTGCTTTCTCTCCAAGAAACCCAACCTGATTGCTACACAGATGTTGTCATCAAAGGAATCATCCTTGTAAGTACTAAACATCTACACAGCAATATATATATATATATATATATAAATATATATAAACTTATAGTTTTATATATGTGTATATCTGAGGTTATTTAATGTACAGGATTTGATAATTGCGGGTACGGATACAGTAGCTATAACGTTAGAATGGGCATTGTCTAATTTGTTGAACCATCAAGAGATACTAAAGAAAGCAAGAACTGAAATTGATGAAAAGATCGGTTTGGACCGGTTAGTGGATGAACCGGATATTATGAATCTTCCTTATCTTCAAAACATAATATTAGAAACACTCCGTTTGTATCCTGCTGCTCCATTACTACTCCCTCACATGTCATCTGAAGATTGCCAGGTGGGAGGTTACGACATGCCACGAGGCACAATGTTATTGATGAATGTGTGGGCCATTCACAGAGACCCGGAGGTATGGGAAGAGTCAGAACGGTTCAAGCCGGAGAGGTTTGATAAAGAAGGGGAAGCTCAAAAAGTTATGCCGTTTGGGCTTGGAAGACGGTCTTGTCCTGGAGCTGGGCTTGCTCATCGGTTAATGGGCTTGACTCTTGCGTCGTTGTTGCAATGTTTCGAGTGGGAGAGAGTTGGTGTCGAACTAATTGATATGAGGGAAGGAAAAGGTGTCACGATGCCCAAAAAGGAGCCATTGCGAGCAATGTGCAGATCACGTGTTCTTGCCGGTAACATGAGAAAGACTTTCTTTGAGTAAGCTATATGTAATATTAGTTCATAGATGTTTGTTCTCGCCATGGATGTTTGAAAGTTTATAAACTTGTTATTATCACAAGTTAATTAATATTATTTTCAGGTTAATGGAAAAGACTTATAGAATTAATTTATTAAGATATTATTACAATAAATTCTCATAAATTTAACACACAACATCTGGAACAAGATAAGACACACTTTCAAAGATCCTCAAGAACTCTCGCTCCGGTTCGGTTAGTGAGTTAGAGAAATCGAACATGAGTTTGTGAATGGAGAGATCGGAACTTTTTAACTTACTAGTTGCATACTCTCCGCGCAAACGCGGAGCCAGGATCATTGTGTTTGCGTGTACTTTTTCGATTGTTGGTTTAGTGAATTCTTCTATTGATATCAAATAATAATGAATAAAAAAATATAGTAAGAGTGTAAAGTGAAAATATTGTATATACAATGTGTTAAATATTATTTATATGCGAAGTAAGGTTTATAGGAATAGTTAGGTTATAATATAGTTTTTATTATGTAAAAGTAGGTGTCTATTTTTTTTTGCTGTAAATAGTTTTTATATCGTAGGTCAAAACTTGATATAATTCTATATTTATAGTATTTATATTTGTATTAAACGGTTTATCAATTTGAAAATAACCTTAATTAAGTTAATATCCGTTGTTTAAGTTTCATTAGATAGGTTTCTATATATGTTTTTTTGTAAGTTTGGGTTTTATTCATAAAAGATGTGGCATTTTTATCTACGGCGTCATCGACTGTGAGAATCCATTCGCCGGAGTTTGGAGTCGATGGTGAGGAATGTTTTCAATAAAATTATAGTAGCTATTAAAATGTAAGAGAAATTACATATTCATTTAATAAATAACGAAAATACTTAAATTTTGTTGTTTATTTTATTTCACATATAATTTTTTAAAAAATATATTAGGAATGTATTAAATATTATTTATAATAAAAAACAACAAAATTTAATTATTTTCGTTATTTATTAAATGAATATGTAATTTCTCTTACATTTTAATAACTTCTATAATTTCATTGAAAAACACTCCTCACCACCGATTCCAGACTCTGTCGAATGGATTCCCACAGTCAGTGACGCCGCAGATAAACATGCCATATCATTTATGAACAAAACTCAAACTTACAAAAAACCATATATAAAAGCTATCTAATGAAACTTAAACAACTGAATATTAACTTAATTAATGTTATTTTCAAATTGATAAATCGTTTAATACAAATATAAATACTATAAATATATAATTATATCAAGTTTTAATCTACGATATAAAAATTATTTACAGCAATTTATATTTGTATTAAACGATTTATCAATTTGAAAATAACCTTAATTAAGTTAATATTCGTTGTTTAAGTTTCATTAGATAGGTTTTTATATATGTTTTTTTTGTAAGTTTGAGTTTTGTTCATAAAAGATGTGGCATTTTTATCTACGGCGTCATCGACTATGAGAATCCATTCGCCAGAGTTTGGAGTTGGTGGTGAGGAATGTTTTCAATGAAATTATAGTAGTTATTAAAATGTAAGAGAAATTACATATTCATTTAATAAATAACGAAAATACTTAAATTTTGTTGTTTATTTTATTTTATTTCACATATAATTTTTTTTGAAAATATATTAGGAATGTATTAAATATTATTTATAATAAAAAACAACAAAATTTAATTATTTTTGTTATTTATTAAATGAATATGTAATTTCTCTTACATTTTAATAACTTCTATAATTTCATTGAAAACATTCCTCACCACCGATTCCAGACTCTGTCGAATGGATTCCCATAGTCAATGACGCCGCAGATAAACATGCCATATCATTTATGAACAAAACTCAAACTTACAAAAAACCATATATAAAACCTATCTAATGAAACTTAAACAACTGAATATTAACTTAATTAATGTTATTTTCAGATTGATAAATCGTTTAATACAAATATAAATACTATAAATATATAATTATATCAAGTTTTAATCTACGATATAAAAATTATTTACAACAATTTATATTTGTATTAAACGATTTATCAATTTGAAAATAAACTTAATTAAGTTAATATTCGTTGTTTAAGTTTCATTAGATAGGTTTTTATATATGTTTTTTTTCTAAGTTTGGGTTTTGTTCATAAAAGATGTGGCATTTTTATCTACGGCGTCATCGACTGTGAGAATCCATTCGCCGGAGTTTGGAGTCGGTGGTGAGGAATGTTTTCAAAGAAATTATAGTAGTTATTAAAATGTAAGAGAAATTACATATTAATTTAATAAATAACGAAAATACTTAAATTTTGTTGTTTATTTTATTTTATTTCACATATAATTTTTTTGAAAATATATTAGGAATGTATTAAATATTATTTATATGCGAAGTAGGGTTTATAGGAATAGTTAGGCTATAATATAGTTTTTAGTGTGTAAAAGGAGTTTTTTTGTTGTAAATAATTTTTATATCGTAGATTAAAACTTGATATAATTATATATTTATAGTATTTTTATTTGTATTAAACGATTTATCAATTTGAAAATAACATTAATTAAGTTAATATTCAGTTGTTTAAGTTTCATTAGATAGGTTTTTATATATGGTTTTTTGTAAGTTTGAGTTTTGTTCATAAATGATGTGGCATTTTTATCTACGGCGTCATTGACTGTGGGAATCCATTCGACAGAGTCTGGAATCGGTGGTGAGGAATGTTTTCAATGAAATTATAGTAGTTATTAAAATGTAAGAGAAATTACATATTCATTTAATAAATAACGAAAATAATTAAATTTTGTTGTTTTTTTTTATTTTATCTCACATACAAATTTTTTGAAAATATATATTAGGAAATATGTGCAGTGATTTAACTTTTTTGAGCTCTTAATCTATATTATTCAAGTCTCATTAAGCTATCCACGTAGACAGCTTAGGAAATATGTGTAATGATTTAACTTTTTTTGAGCTCTTAATCTATATTATTCAAGTCTCATTAAGCTATCCACGTAGACAGCCGCGTATGACTCACTTTTTTTTTGTTTTTTGGTCTGTTCGTTTTTGGATCCATTTTTTATTATTTTTGGATTAAGCTATATTATAATATGATAGTTTTAAGACTCTTTAAGCCATATGCGTAGGCAACCGTATGGGACTTGCCTTTTTTTTGTTTTTTATTGTTTGTTTTTTGATCCATTTTAACTACTTTTGGGTTTGAACTTGTTAAGATTTAGGGTTTATCCAACTATTTTGATCTTTAAAATAATAAGCCCAAAAAAAAACATAAAAACCTTATAAACAAAAAAAACTCATATGATAATAATCCAAATAAAAAAAATCAAAAATACATGATAGCTGTGTGATTTTAACCCACGATCTTGCATGTTTAGTTAGAACCTTATACCACTTGGCTAAAGTGTATTTCATTGTTTGTAATCATCTTACCAAGACTATGAGCTTTTAAAAAATACCTACGGGATCCATAAAACTGCTGACATGGCGCGTTGTGGAACTTATAAAGTCTACTATTATAATACAGATTATAAAAAAAAAACTTTTTAGCTTCCGAATGGTTTGTGGTTTGGTTGGAAGTAAATTTTGTTTTTAACACTAGATAATTATGATATTATAATTATGAAAAATATTATAAACGATTATACAGTCGATAATTTTATCTATCTTATAGATTTACGTTTGATTGTATCATCTAAGTTGTATTGCAGGTTTTTTATAGATTCTTTTTTCATTAATTCGCATAATTTCATATTTTTCGGGATTCGAAATCTAAACCCCTTAATATATAAGTACTAGGATAAGACCTGCGCCTTGCGCATGGTGAATATATTTAATTAAAATATAAAATTTTAATATTCACAAATTTAAAATTTACATATGATTGTTTTTGTATGTATTTGAAATTTTAGAATTTTGGAATTTTTATATAATTATCTATACGTATGATCAAAAACAATTTTAATTAGAAATGTAAATCAAATCTGAGAATTTAATGGATCTAATTTCATATATCTTTTTACTTTTCAGTGTTCGAGTGATGGAAAATAAATGGAGTGTCACTGGGCTTGATTGGTAGAGTATAGCAAGTTCCCTAATGTTTTTAAAGAAGCAATTGGTAAAATATTTGCAATTAAAATATATAAAGTTTCTAAACTAATTTAATATAATTTATTTATTTGTCTAATAATATTAGAAAATTA